AGGAAGCGACTTGGGAACATGAAATGGAGGTCCGAGAGAAACATCTGGATTTGTTTATTAATGTTTGAGAATATATTGGAAATCGTGTTTTGTTGATGAACTCTAAGAACATTGAATATGTTTGGGTTGTAAAACATTGCAAATGTTTAAATTATGAAAACATTGTATATGTTATGGACATCTTGGAAACACAAATTATTTGTAAACATTGCATATGTTTGGGAATATGGAATGTCACATGTATTGTATTACTTTGGGAGCATTGTATATGCCATGTACACTTCTTAAAAATCTGGATTTTGATTAAACATTGTTAATGTCTTGGAAATTGCGAATCTCGTTTCAAATTGGGGCAAGTGTATCGAGTCGGTGAAAATGAATGGGCGAAGGATAGGTCATGGTGTTGGGTTTGTAAGAATAACATGGTTCGGAATGACCAAATGTTGATTTTGAACTTAATTTGTAATTTCGGGGACGAAATTCTTTAAGGGGGGAGGTTATAGCAACCCCAGTTTCTAACTCGACCTTTATGGTGTTTCGGACTCGGGTCTTGTGGTTTAATGCTGTTGTTATGTCTCTTTCTCCTCTTACTATTTGAATTTCAGTTTTTGGGATGTCTTGGGCGTGTTCAGAACAGGTTGGTTAGTGGTTGGTCTAGAACCTTGTTGCCTAAAGTTTTGGTCTTCCACTCGAGCGGGTCCTTTTGCGCTCGAGCGGGGTTTACAATCCTTCAGTACTTTGTGCATCTGCAAAAATACTACAGAAGTTTTTTCATGCTCGAGCGAAGTCTCTTGCGCTCGAACAGGTCTGAGCTCGAGTGGCCCCTCTAGTGCTTGAGCGACTGTCTGAAATCTGTAAAATACTGGACGAGTGTATTCTACGCTCGAGCAGGTCTCTTTGCGCTTGAGCGAGTAGTGTCTTGGCGCTTGAGCGTCAAACTCTTCGCTCGAGCGGACTGTACGTATATCAGATCACAAAAGTGACATTTTAAATCACTTTTTCTGTCCTTTCTCTCTCTCAAACTTTCCAAAACCCTAAGTTGAGAGCTTCTCTCTCTAAAATACTTTCTCTCTTTCTCTCTCTCTCTCTCTCTTTACATTTTGACCTAGATCTAGTGATCTCCTCACCCTCCTTCCTTTGATAAAAAGTGTGGGCTCTTCAAGATCTCCATTTTCATCCGAGTAGAAGCTGATTTCGTCATCTTTGGTGCTCATCTCTTCCTTGGCTCATCTTCTCTTCTTGAGGTAGGGATATTCTACTCTCTTATATGGGTTTTAACATAGATGTTGGTCATTTTGTATAAATGGTTGGTTTGGGTAAAGTTAGGGTTTGAGTTTGGACTTGTGAAAGAGGGGGCTTCCTCGTTTGGGCTCCATATGTGTATGTAAGACCTTAAAAATGGGGTTAATGGTGTATAAAAGTTGAAATGGTGAGATTTGGCCTTTGGTGCACTATTTGAGAAAAAATGAGAAATGCCCTAATTTGAATTATAAAGGTTATTTGCATAAATAATGAAAATGATGCGGAAACATTAAATTGGTTTGGAAATCATGAAATTAGAGGAAATTATGATTAAACGGTGTAGTTGGATTGATGAATCGCCCACCTATGAAAAATGTGATAAATTATTTGTTAAGACATTTATTTATCTGTTTAGATATATATATTTGGGCTATCGGTGGAGGATAGCCATGATTGTTGTAGGCACTTTTTTACATTTATTTATTTCTTATATAATTGATCCTTTTTATTTTAAATTACTGTTTTCTAAATTCCTGTATACCCTGTGGTAACACAGTAATGGTACAATGCTACTTATCCATGGAATTTTAACTGCAATTGGAGTGCTATATGATTTTTATGGCTTGTTCATATGATTGATTGGAGATTGGATGTGACATCTTACTCTAATTGTTCATTCTGTACAGAGGTTAGCAATCAAATGCTAGAACTGTATGAACAAAACAGATTACCGGCTTCTCAGGCAAGTGAAGTAGAAGGAAGTTCTGGTGCTGCGGTTAGTCATCGAGCCCCTTCAAAAGATCCTTATGACAATGATGAACATGCAACAAATAATAGTAATTCTCAGGGTGGAGGTACAACTTCAAAGCCTGGAGCCTTGAAGCCAGCATCATCTCGGTCTGTCCCTGATCATTCATACGCTGATAGTCATGGTGGGGTTTCGAAAACCATCCAAAATCGAAGCAATGACTATGGAAGCACCGAGATAAAGAGTGTTTCAGACCAAAAAGGTGATGGTGAGGTTGTTAATCAACACCATGAATCAGAGCAGTCACATTACCAGGAAAACATGGAGGAAGTCCAAAATTCTAGGTTTGGTTTGGAAGGACACAGTGAAGAAGATCAAGAAAGGAACAATGCTGGGAGACGTGAAACAAGAGAAGCCCATGTCCGAAATGTGGAGCTGAGAGATGGTACACTTGGCCAGTCACCCCAAGAAGCTATGAAAAAGATTGACAAAGACAAGGTAAAGGCAGCACTAGAGAAACGGAGAAAGTCTCGTGGTGATGTAAGTCGGAAGACAGACGTGATGGACGAGGATGATCTCATCGAGAGGGAACTGGAAGATGGTATTGAAATGGCTGCGGAGAGTGAGAAGGTCAAGCGGGAGAGGAGGCAAAGCTGGTCCAAATCTTCGAACTTGCCAGATCATGAGAATACACATCAAGGAATGAAAGGGCAGTCCTCACATGGACAAGATTTTGAGAATGTGGAAGAAGGTGAGCTGGCGGGATTCGATGATGCTGGCCATGGATATCGATCACCAAAGTCGAGCAATCGCAAGAGAAAGGCGGGAAGCCCACCAGACAGACCACTGGAGGGAAAGCAGCAGCGGCATGATTATGTAGTTCCTGGGGCCCACCACCATAATCACCATGTATTTCCAGAAGATAGAAACAGGTTGGGCAGAATTGGATACTCAGAACGGGATCAAAAAAGGCACGTACCGGAAAGTCATGTCTAGAAGGTGGTTACTGCTTGCCGGAGCGTGTCTTTGTAGCTTGCTCGAGTGTTCAAGTCTCTCTTGATTCAGCCGCCAACAGGTAATGATTTCTATGGTCAGGATTATTTAAGTACAAAACATGGAGTTAATTTTTCAGGCTGATAGTTTGGTTTGTGCTTTCCCTAAGCTGGCTTTGGGAAATTTGTATGAAAGGAACTATGGTGATTATCCAAGTTCAGTGGATTTGTGGTGTTGGCTGTTGTTTTCTCTGGTTTTAATCTCTTCAAAATATTTTAGACCGTGAAACACAATTCGATGATGAGGTGACAATTATGATGATGATAATCTATTGAGGAACTTTAATGATTTAAATAGAGGCAGTTTTGATGTTCTTTTCAATTGTATGTGCTGTACATACTGATATTCACAGTTTGTTCTGAAAATGCATTTCTAATCATGTTTCTGTTGGAGAACTTCATGTCATTCTTTTGATTGACACAAACACAATTGTGAGATTTGGAATGTCAAGGTTAGCTGAAGATTCACATTATCATTATTTTCTTAGTTCTTGTATGGAAAATACTAACCAGTGCCTCCTGGGCATTGGTTTACATCTGTAAAGTGTTTTTAAAATGGTTAAAATGTTTTGAAATCTGTGAAATTTAGTGTTCCTCATTTTTGTCATTTTCTTGTGCTTCGGAACATTTGTTAACAAAACACCTTTCTCTGCAATTTTTTCCACCCCTTTCCTTGACAGGATGGTGTCTTTATGCAAATTCTTTGTTGATTTTTACATTTATTTATTTCTTATATAATTGATCCTTTTTATTTTAAATTACTGTTTTCTAAATTCCTGTATACCCTGTGGTATCACAGTAATGGTACAATGCTACTTATCCATGCAATTTTAACTGCAATTGGAGTGCTATATGATTTTTATGGCTTGTTCATATGATTGATTGGAGATTGGATGTGACATCTTACTCTAATTGTTCATTCTGTACAGAGGTTAGCAATCAAATGCTAGAACTGTATGAACAAAACAGATTACCGGCTTCTCAGGCAAGTGAAGTAGAAGGAAGTTCTGGTGCTGCGGTTAGTCATCGAGCCCCTTCAAAAGATCCTTATGACAATGATGAACATGCAACAAATAATAGTAATTCTCAGGGTGGAGGTACAACTTCAAAGCCTGGAGCCTTGAAGCCAGCATCATCTCGGTCTGTCCCTGATCATTCATACGCTGATAGTCATGGTGGGGTTTCGAAAACCATCCAAAATCGAAGCAATGACTATGGAAGCACCGAGATAAAGAGTGTTTCAGACCAAAAAGGTGATGGTGAGGTTGTTAATCAACACCATGAATCAGAGCAGTCACATTACCAGGAAAACATGGAGGAAGTCCAAAATTCTAGGTTTGGTTTGGAAGGACACAGTGAAGAAGATCAAGAAAGGAACAATGCTGGGAGACGTGAAGCAAGAGAAGCCCATGTCCGAAATGTGGAGCTGAGAGATGGTACACTTGGCCAGTCACCCCAAGAAGCTATGAAAAAGATTGACAAAGACAAGGTAAAGGCAGCACTAGAGAAACGGAGAAAGTCTCGTGGTGATGTAAGTCGGAAGACAGACGTGATGGACGAGGATGATCTCATCGAGAGGGAACTGGAAGATGGTATTGAAATGGCTGCGGAGAGTGAGAAGGTCAAGCGGGAGAGGAGGCAAAGCTGGTCCAAATCTTCGAACTTGCCAGATCATGAGAATACACATCAAGGAATGAAAGGGCAGTCCTCACATGGACAAGATTTTGAGAATGTGGAAGAAGGTGAGCTGGCGGGATTCGATGATGCTGGCCATGGATATCGATCACCAAAGTCGAGCAATCGCAAGAGAAAGGCGGGAAGCCCACCAGACAGACCACTGGAGGGAAAGCAGCAGCGGCATGATTATGTAGTTCCTGGGGCCCACCACCATAATCACCATGTATTTCCAGAAGATAGAAACAGGTTGGGCAGAATTGGATACTCAGAACGGGATCAAAAAAGGCACGTACCGGAAAGTCATGTCTAGAAGGTGGTTACTGCTTGCCGGAGCGTGTCTTTGTAGCTTGCTCGAGTGTTCAAGTCTCTCTTGATTCAGCCGCCAACAGGTAATGATTTCTATGGTCAGGATTATTTAAGTACAAAACATGGAGTTAATTTTTCAGGCTGATAGTTTGGTTTGTGCTTTCCCTAAGCTGGCTTTGGGAAATTTGTATGAAAGGAACTATGGTGATTATCCAAGTTCAGTGGATTTGTGGTGTTGGCTGTTGTTTTCTCTGGTTTTAATCTCTTCAAAATATTTTAGACCGTGAAACACAATTCGATGATGAGGTGACAATTATGATGATGATAATCTATTGAGGAACTTTAATGATTTAAATAGAGGCAGTTTTGATGTTCTTTTCAATTGTATGTGCTGTACATACTGATATTCACAGTTTGTTCTGAAAATGCATTTCTAATCATGTTTCTGTTGGAGAACTTCATGTCATTCTTTTGATTTTCACAAACACAATTGTGAGATTTGGAATGTCAAGGTTAGCTGAAGATTCACATTATCATTATTTTCTTAGTTCTTGTATGGAAAATACTAACCAGTGCCTCCTGGGCATTGGTTTACATCTGTAAAGTGTTTTTAAAATGGTTAAAATGTTTTGAAATCTGTGAAATTTAGTGTTCCTCATTTTTGTCATTTTCTTGTGCTTCGGAACATTTGTTAACAAAACACCTTTCTCTGCAATTTTTTCCACCCCTTTCCTTGACAGGATGGTGTCTGAGAAATTAGAAAGCCCTAATTCTTCAATGACAGAAGATTGTGTGCATATGACGAGATAGATATGAGGTCATTCTTGTAAATAAAAGCCATTATGGATTTTTTGTTTTAAAATGAAATGTTGGCATTGAGTCGCATCATACACCTGGAGGGGTTTGTAGAGTGAGTGTTTGCTGATCACTTTATTGACAGAATCGAATGTTGGATATTAAATTTTAGTAAGGATTTGTAGAGAAATGAGAAATGAGAAAAGAAAAATGACAAAAATAAAAGCTAATGTTTTGTTTCTTTTTTCCTTTCTTTACAAATTCTTATTCAAATTCAAGTACAAGCATGGCTTAAAAGTAGGTACATAGATCAAAGTAATATTTTTGTGATGTCAATGGGCAATTATTCTTGAATCTTGACTAACACCAAATTCAAATTTACGGTAACACATCCCATTATTGTAAAAATTCTAACATGAGTAAGATTGAATCAAGGGCCTAGTTCATTCTTCATTTATTTGATTTAGTCATAAATGAAATTACTTAAATATATGGGTTGGACTGAGCATTGGTCTGAAACCCAGTTCATAGATCGCTAGATATGATAACTAGCATTCTCATTAAGGGGGGGAAAAGACATTTGAGTTATAAAAGTGAATTCTACGTGTGTTTAGCCTGAAAATTTTGAAAAACATTTTTATTTACACATCACTTTGGTATAAAATAAAAATAAAAATAAAAAAGAGAAAAATAAAATGCAATTATGGTGTCTTTTGAAATAGTGGTTATTTTGTTTACAATTTACAATATAAGTGCACTCATATCATCTTATGGTGTCTATTTATTTTCATTTTAAGTAAGCGATTAAGAATGATATTTCTAATTTTACTCTTTTGGGATTGACATAAAGTAATGTAATGTATTAATCCAAACTTTATACTGTATCCAATTATTTTTTGGAAAACTTATTTAAAAAATGGGAATTTGGAAAAAAAAAAAATACTAAAAATGAAGAATAAAAAAAATTATAAACCCATTGTACCCATGGCACTTTCTTTTCCCTCCTCTCTCTTCATTTCCGTAGCCTCATTTTCTACGTTTGGTTGATGAGAATAGAGACGCAAAATAAAAATCATATTTTTATAGTATCTTTTGTTTTGTAATATTCATGATTTAGAATGTGATTTTTAATTCAATTAATCTACAATAAAATTCAATTGTCATATTTTTTACATTTTTAAGTGGCGTTTGGTTTGCTTTTGAAATTATGATTTGAGTGTGGAGTTATAATTTGAATTTGTGTAGGAGTGTAAAAATGGCCTGCAGTTTGTGGGCAGCCTGAAGCCCGGGATGGGCCTGGCCTGTTGAGGCCCGTTTGGGCCTGGGCCTGGGCCATCATTTTGAAACCCAGACCGTGGCTTAGTCTATTGGACCGCTTAAGGCCCACCCAAGCCCGGTGTTTTTTTTTAGTGGAAAATAATAAAATTTTGATAGAAAAAATTTGAAAAAACAAAAAAAAATTGTTAGACCCAAGCTCGAGGCTAGGCCTAGGCCTGAATATCACTGGGTTTGGGCCTAATTTTTGGCCCATAACCCGACTCGAATTTTGGTAGGAGCCCACGAAGCCTGACATGGGTCGGGTCGGGCTAGATTTGCACCATGAGTTTGTGAGGTTTTGAATTATGATTTGAAAAAAGAAAATATGTTTATTTATGAGTTTTGTATTGAGTTTAAAATTTTTGAAATAGGAAGTTTTTGGTTATGAGTTTTAGAAAAAAAATTTCAAAACTTAATTCAAAAATTTATCACTCATAACCAGACACACAATTCAATAGTCTATTAAAAATTTTGTTCAAAACTCATGACCAAACTCTTTTTAAAATTCAATTCAAAAAAATTATTATTATAAAAAATAACATAAAAATTTATTGAGTTATATTAGGGACCCCAAATAAATTACCAAATTTTCTACCAAACCTCTCACATGGGTGTGAGACCCATACACATGTGATTTGTGTGGGTCCCACACCCATGTAAGAGGTTTGCTAAAAAATTTAGGGGCAAATTACAAATAAAACCTCAAGGTTTAGCGTGTTTTGCAAATTAAACCCCAGGTTTTTAATTTTGACAATTAGAACCCTGTAATTTATTCCGTGTCACAATGTAAACCCTCCGTCCATCTCCGTTTCATAAAGTAACAGAGAAAGCCATTTTTGGCGCCTAAACCAACCCAAAACGACGTTGTTCCTTATTAGACCCGTATAAAAGCCCCCGAATCCTAAATTTCACCAATTAGGGCTACAATTTGTCATAATTTCTTCGATTTCGTCGATTTAAGGCAAAAGGGTTGTTGCGATTTGGAAGAAAATCTAGACCAGAGTTTGAAGTACTATTGGTTACTGTTATTTGGAGTGTTGGTAAATGATTTATACAATTTATTTTGTTTCTTTCTTGTAATTTGTACATGAAGTTTTGTTTTTTCTTTTTCTGATTCTGTGAATAAAGTAATAGCAAACTCTGTGTTTGTATCTTACTTTATTGCATGGTATGTGTGTGTGTTGGTTACTTTAATGTCTTGGATGCTTTATGAAATTTTTTATCTCCATTGATGGACCACTACATTAACTGAGTGGTTGGACCACTGCATTGACTGAGTGATGGACTACTGATTTATCAATTTTTTTGTCTCCATTTTTGGTCTCATGCCACTTGTTCAGTCCATTGATTTTTGATGCTTTTTTTTTTTGTGATATATTTGTTTATTTGTGAATGCAACAATAGATGACATAAATATGAAATTGGTTTTACATCATAGTGGGTATTTTATAAATAGTGATGGTGGGCCTATGAGTTACTTTGGGGATAAAGTACATGTGTTTGATATTGTTGATGTTGATACATTTTATGTGCCTGAACTGATATATATGGTGAAGAAGTTAGGGATATGTGATTACAAACAGTTTTTTTTATAGGAATTCCACAGAAGATCTGATTAGAGGGTTAAGAAGATTAGAACTAACCAAAAAGTTTTAGAAATGTTTCAATATCTAGGCTTTGCAAATACATTAGAATTATTTGTTGAGCATCATGTGCCACACAATGTAAACACCCCTCACCCTATTTTGTTCCTTACTGATATCCCTGTAAATGATGATGAAAATGCTCAACATCCTCAGTCTCATGACTATGAAGATGAAGCAAACAGTGAAGATGAAGAAAATGATGACTGATCAGATAATGATTTCTTAGCTAGTAATGAGGGTGAGGATGACCCTACTGATGATGATATCATGTTTGATGGTAATATAGAGAAGGAACCAAACGGAGAAGGAGGCAATGCATTTGAGGAATATGTTGTGAATGATGAGGATTCATCTGAAGAGGAATTATTAACCCCTAAAGGATCTGATGAGGAAGGTAATGGGAAGCCAAAGTACACTGAATTTAGGCTTGAGGTTGATAAGGCTAATTTTGAATTTAAAATTGGAATGTTATTTAATAAGCCATTGAATTTAAAGATGCTGTGAGGGAATATACAGTGAAAGGGGGCTATGATGTCAAATTCACTAAAAGTGAGACATGGAAGGTTCAAGTCAACTGTAGTGATGGGTGTGAGTGGAGGCTTTATGCCTCTAAGATGAGTGGAGAGAACACATTACCAATTAAGACATACAAACCAACACATACTTGCAATAGAAGTTACAAGAACAGACAAGTAACTAGTGCATTTTTGGTATCTAAGTATGTGAACAAATTTAGGACCACCCTTACCTCGAAAATAAATGAATTTAAAGACACTGTGAAAGATGACTGTGTTGTAGAAGTATCCAAAATGAAATGTTACAAAGCTAGGAAACAAGCATTGGTGCAACTTGAAGGAACAAATGCTGAACAATATACAAAACTTTGGAATTATGCTATTGAGTTGATAAGGACCAATCCAAGTTCAAGAGTTGACATCAATGTGTGGAGGCCTCAACTTCAAATTAAGCCTAGGTTTTAGAGAATGTTTGTATGCCTTGATGGAATCAGAAGAGGGTTTTTAGCTGGCGTGAGGCCATTGATTGGCTTGGATGCTTGTTATTTGAAAAGACCTTGTCAAGAACAATTGTTTGCTACTGTGGGATGGGATGGAAACAACATGATGTATCCAATTGCTTATGCAGTGGCTGAGAGTAAGAATAAAGAAAGTTGGACTTGGTTTGTAGAGAATTTGTTTGAATGTATTGGCACAAGCGTAGAGCATAGATGGACCTTCATCACTGATCA